AAGAGCACACTGTATACACTGTATTGTAGCCACCTTGATAATAAAGCATATTAAAAATAAAATAAAATAAAATAAATAATAAGATGTGGCTTTCATTTCAAAAGTTGAAACTTAAGGTTCAACAGTTGCTAGAGTACCAGTCTTCAAGTATTCATTGCAGGCTGCAAGAAGGAAAAGCAAATGACCAAAGGGTGTGTGCCCTTTTAAGAAAACTTACCAGAAGTTTCAACACTTGAGCTTATATTTCAACAACTTAGTCACATGGATACATCCAAGAAAAACTGGAAAACGTAGCTTTTTAGTTGAGTACATTGCCCAGATATCAGTTAATAAGGAAGAATTGGAAAATGAACATTGGGAGGCAATTGGCAGTTTCTGTCACAAATCCTTGGTCAGTTTTACTCTTGCGCTTTTATTCTTATTCTTATTGATTTGTGGGAGCTCTTTATATATAAAGGAAATTCTGTTCACTACAGGAGTTACAAATACGTTTTTGTCTATTATTTCCTTTCAACTTTGATTATGGTGTTTTTTCATGTAGATGCTTTTTCTGTAGTTGAATGTATCAATGTTTTCTTTTTTATGGCTTCTGGTTTTTGAATCATATTTAGGAAGGCCTTCTCACTCTGAAATTTCTCATGGTTTTCTCTAGTACTTTTACAAGGATTCAGACCTTGAAAGATTCAACTCAAAGTCAAAGCTTTCTGGAGTCAACCTTCTTATTTAAGTTGGAAGCAAGAGCAGTGACATCTGGCTCACTATTACTGGTAGGGATAGTTTTGTTGTCTTTGGAGACTTAACAGGATTGCTAAAGTAGGCTCACCGTATAATAACAGTATTGAATGATGGCTCATAGATTAATGTGAATTGCAGGTCCCTTCAACATGAGTATTGAACGTCTGGATGACTGTAATGCAGTAAGAATTTGCCCTGAATGACACCAAGGTGGGGTTTACAAAATGGAAATTCAAATAGCCAAGCCAGAAAGTTATTAATAGGAAACACAAAAGAAATATAAGAAACATTCATTTGTAAATCAGAGAGAGAATCTTTCACATTGGCTGGTTACCACTCCAACAGCTTCTTACTGTCTCTGATAATTGATCCCGGGAATAGAGCAAAGTCCCTATATATATACACCGGAGCATATCCCATTATAGCCTGCAGTTCACAGGAGCTAGTGAAGGGCAAAGCCTTCCAAGCCTTGACATTGGCCAATCTCTTTTGTAAATATCCTCTCCCTTACTGTGGTAGCTTGGAAAATTCTTTTTCTTAGAAAGCAACAGTTTCAATAGGACGCTACCTCGATAAGGGCATAATTTAATTGGTTCCAGGTAATTTTTTAAGTTCATTTACTTATGTTGAGAGAGAAAAAGAAAGAGGGAGGGAGGGAGGGGGAGAGAGAGAGAGAGAGAGAGAGAGAGAGAGAGAGAGAGAGAGAGAGAGAGAGAGAACAAGCAGGGCAAGGGCAGAGGGGAGAGAGAGAATTCCAAGCAGGCTCTATACCATCAGCACAGAGCTTGATGTGAGGCTTAAACTCATGAACTGTGAGATCATGACCTGAGCTGAGATCAAGAGTCAGATGCTTAACTGACTATGCCACCCAGGTGTCCCGGTTCTAGTTAATTTTTTAAAATTTCACATGGATACACACAATTTAGTCTAACATCTATTAAAAGCATTTTCCACACTTGAATTCTAATGTTGCTTAGAGCTCTGGATTGAAATATTCACCTGAACTTCTGCAGGTATGAAAATTGTCCTATTCTCATCAGGAACACAAGGTTAAATACATAACAGCTGGAAGCATCACCTTAATTTGCCCCTTCTAAATCTAATTAGACACAGTAAAGGCATAATTATATGCGTGTACTCCAAGAGAATGAGATGAAATATTTGAAACCAGAGATGAAAATGATGCCATATATTACAGAAGCACTTTTCAAAACAGTGGCATGGTCTCCTTCCCTCCTTGCCTTCACTCAATGTGGCACACAGGGCAGTAATAGGAGGACACTAAGTAGTAAGTGACTTGCTCAGGTGGTTACAAAGGTAGTTTTAGCAGTTATGATACAAAATGGAATTCCTGATTTTTAATTCTGTTAAGTAATTTTATAATAACTAAAAGTTAGGAACATATTTTCTAAAACATTTTTAATGTTTTTATTTTATTTCTGAGAGAGAGAGAGAGCAGGGGAGGGTCGGAGAGAGAGGGAGACACAGAATCTGAAACAGGCTCCAGGCTCTGAGCTGGCTGTCAGCACAGAGCCCGACACGGGGCTTGAACCCACGAACCATGAGATTATGACCTGAGCCGAAGTCAAACGCTTAACTGACTGAGCCACCCAGGTGCCCCAGGAAAATATTTTTTTTTAACATGACAAACATGGTCTCTTTAAACTTACACCTTGCTGGCATTCCACTAAAGTCATGGAGTTTAAAGATGATGTTCCCAAGCTTTGCTGAGACCTATTGGTTATTAAACAGCTGGTTATGGTCTAGCGCCTCTTTTTATGGCTAAGGTACAACTTCTAGCAGTCACCGGAGACTTTAGTTACCATGAAAGGGGAGAGGGGAGCACATTATACAGCCCCTGGTAAATCTCCACAAGCTATTTTGTTTTTTTAATGTTTATTTATTTATTTATTTTGAGAGAGAGAGAGTGTGTGTGAGCATGAAAGGGGCCAAGGGAGAGAAAGAGAGAATCTCAAGCAGGCTCTGCACTGTCAGCACAGAGCCCAATGCAGGTCTGGATCTTAAGACTGTAATCATGACCGGAGCCAAAATCAAGAGTCGGACGCTTAACTGACAACCATCCAGGCGTCCCCTCAACAAGCTGTTTCCAAAAAGGCTTTAAACTTCTTGGGGAACTAACCAACCAATGCTGGTTAGTTGGAGAGGTAAAATGTATCAAAACCACTGAACTGATTATTGTAGACATCCTCTGTTTGAGGTATATGCAAAGAATTTTTATGAAGTGAAATTGTATCAAATGTGTCTCACATTAAAAAGAGGAAGAGAAAAGAAAAATTTCAAGAGTTAACACAAGGGACATGTAACGATTGAACATCAAATTTTAATCTTGAACCTTTTCTCCAGTCTTCAAATTATTAACACGAAGAGGAATGATAAATTGTAATTTTATCATTACCGTATCGCTGTGTAACAAGCCCTTGTTACAAAATCTCCATCTACTGTCTCCAAAAAACCAATAGAAAACCCATACATTATATTATCTAAGTGATCTATTAACAGATGAAATTTTAACCACCTTCATACCAGGAAACTATTAACAGAGGTACTTCAATCACATAGCTTAAAATATGGAGAAAAGACAGGTAAAAAATTATCTTAAGCTGTAGTAGTCTTTTTACTTTTTAAAATTTTTATAAAATACACTAATTTCCCAAAATAAAGAATATTATGACACATTGGTGTCAACTTACACAAATGAAAGCTGATGTCAGCTTTTTTCCTAACTAAAATTCATTTCACCAAACCTTTATATATTACATGAATATCCAAGTAAAGTATTTTTTTAAAAATTCAACACACAGGAACATAATGTACAGTGTTTTATATATATAAAAAAAGGTTAATTTAGGAATGATTTCATTTTTAACCACGTAATATATCTTTTTAAGACCATGAAACCTCTTGCTACCGCAAGAAGACTTTTCAGTTCATGTTTCTATTTCCCAGTTGTAATTCTTAAAAGTAAAAAATGAAAAAGGATTTTGTTTGTTTTTCACACACAAAAAAACTGTAGCGACAATTTCATTCACTACCAGGCTGCCTTCCCTCCGTTTGTTTTCAGGACTACCCAGCCCCACGCCTGCCTGGCGCCGGAATGTAACGGGGAGAAGAGGCCAATGACATCAAAGAACGGACATAGGAAGATGGGCTCAGCTGGACCCTGCCGCCATTGTAAGGTGTGGGCACTTTCACTCGCGAAAGGCCTCCCAGAGCTGTGCGAGAACTGTCACGGGAGCAGTCTCTTGGCTCGTCCTTTACATCAGTCAGCTGGGAGGACATAAAGGAACATTCTCACTAATGACTTGTCTAATGGCTGATGGATTCCTTAGCCAGGGAGGGAGCGCGTATGCTCAGAGACGCTGGTCAGGAGCAAAAAGAATACTGTTTATTTTACACCTCCTGCATTGGTCACTTCTGAGCACAAACCAACCTCAACAGGAAATTGCAATGAAATATACACACCATGCACAGTCCCTATTACTGTGGGAATCCAGTAACACATGCAGGATGGTGGGAAAAGAATCACAAGGGATGAATGTAAACTTTTCACAGTGTTTCTTATAGCCTTTGACTTTAGCACGAGTGCACCACTTACCACCACAATCTCACAAACGTTTCATTGTGTCGTGGGCATGCAGATCACTTGGGGTAAAATGGGCGATTACATTTCATAGCCATTCTCAGACAGGAGTACAACTTCAATTTTCCCAATTTCCAACCAATGAATCGAGCTGCTTCTGTAATAAAACTAAATATATTTCTGAATATATTTTTTTTGTGTTGTTGTGCTTTATTCTTACCACTTCACTGGCTGCATTCTAGAGAAGTTAAAAACCTGCAAAATTATATTGAAGACTAGGTCTTGCTGGTGATTCCTGACCAAACCAGAAAGACAGGGAATCACTAACTTCTTTTCTCTTGCTTCTGTCTCCCTACCCCAGGCCTTTATTGATATTGATACAGTTTTAAGTTTTAGTTTCCTAAAGCGGAAAACCAAATTAGAGAACTGGCATTTCTGTCTTAGAGAAGTAAAAAGTAACACCGGTAGGGGGAGAAGGGGGGAGTTCATTCTATGTCAAAAAAAAAAAATCTCTTGCTCTCAACAGGAGATAATCCAGCTTCTCCTTAGCTATCATTTCATAAATTAATAATTTCTTAAAATCATAATCCAAAGAATTTATCTATTACAAGAAAAATTCAAGTGTAAAAAAGCAAATAAATTAGTTAAGCCTTGTAAACAATTGTCCATTTAGCTATATATCTTTTTAAAAAGAAGGTTTCTCTGTATAGCAAATCAGACAGTACAAGGCACACCTTACATATCAGAACCCAGAATGACAAGACCCCCACACACGCCTTCTTCACGCTGTCGGCCGAGCTGTGCTGAGGGCACTGGGGTCACACACCCATCCTCTGCTCATCTCCTGACCATCTGGAAGTCCAAAATGTGGTCTTTCCATTAAATTGCTTTGTGCTCTTTTGTTGTGTGATGTGACTTCAAGCTTCTCAATGTTAGTCTCCTCAGATATTTTCCACAAAGCTTCCTGGGAAAAGGCCAGTTTTCCCATTACGCTGTAACGTGCCTTTGAACCAGCCATCTTCTCGCTTTTTATGAACAAACACAATATCTCCTTCTTTAAGTTCAAGTTCTGCCTCACTCTGAGGAGGATAGGAAACTACCACCCTGTGCCTAGAAAAGAGAGATGTATTTTGGTTAAGGCCACTCAAAGTAGTGGAATAAAAAGGTATACTATTTGCCTACAGAGAATTAAACATAAACAGAATAGGAAATAACATAAATTTGTTTATGACATTTGCAGAACTCAAAATACACAACTACTCTCTGTTTTGTAGAGACTTGATTTTAATAGAGTTTAGCTGTGTCTAACAGTCCATTATCGATGAGACTGGTTTATCTGAGTGACCTGTACAGTGACAGCTGTTCTTGTCCCCTTCCAGAGTTTGTACCTTGTCCATACAGAAAGTTTTACTCCAGTTCCTGGGAGGAAATGCCCTGTTCTTCCCTCTTCTCCAAGAAGAATGGAATGAATTTATTTGATTGGTGAGATTAGGAGAAGTGGTTGAGTAGGTGGGTTCAGTCCTTTCTGAATTCCTGGCCTCTGGGCTGAGTGGGCTCTGCTCTTCCTCTGCTTGGAAGCATGGAATGGTCAGGGGCTAGGGGTCAGGAGGTTAGGCCTGCCTTCTAAAATTGGATATGGAAGTCCATCTCCCTTGACATGGATGAGGCATCAATTCTAAGGCAGTTCATCTGCCTCACATACCCAAATTCTCCTTCAGGCAGGCTGTCCTAAGGTCTAGACAAGCAGGGAAGGACAATGGCCACAAATGCAATCCAATACCACCAGTAATGAGGTTGATATCCGTTTGTCTGAAAACTGTGTCTGTTTCTCTATTGGTTCTCAACTCAGATATTAGTGGGAAAGGGTATAATTATCAGTTAAAAACCCGAGAAGCCTTGTTGGTTTAATACTATCTATCTCCGGTCTTCCTTTCTCCTAAGTCTCCTTCTGCAAAACTATGACTAGCAGCCATGAAAACCAGATGGAGCTTTTGTGCCCCATATTCTCTTATATTTCTCTATTTTTCCAGCATTACTGCTCTCCTTTACTCCTCTCTTGCTTTTTCCAACCAAGGTGGAGGAAGGGGGGAAGGTGGTATGTGGTAGCCAACCTCCAATATGGCCCCAGTGACCCTTGCCTCCTGGTATTCATCTCCCACAAAGCACAGGGACAATCTGATAACCAATAAAATACTGTGAAAGTAACTGTGTGATTTCTGAGTCTAGGTCATAAAAGGCCTTGTAGCTTCTACATTAGTTTCTCTTGCATCACACACTCTAGGGAAAATCAGCTACAGTGCTGTGAGAAAATGCAACATCCCTATAGAGAGGAGAACATGGTGAGTAACCAAAGTCTCTTTCTAAAACCCCAACTAACTAGCCAATAGTGATGTCAGGGAGCCACCTTGGAAGGGAGTTGTCCAGCGCTGGTCAAGCCTTTAGATGACCATAGCTGAGGCTGCTATCTGGATTGCAACCTCAGGAAATACCCCAAGCCAGAACCACCCAGATAAGTCACTCCCAAGTTCACAGCCCATAGAAGCTGTGGGGAAATAAATGTTTATTGTTGCTTTAAGCCACTCAATTTTGGGGGTAATTTGTTACATAGCAACAGATAACTTAAAAATGTGAACATACATTTTTCTCCATTTGCTGTTATGCAGTATTCAATCATAAAGGTATTTTGAGTTTCTACTTTTGTTTGGTTCTTAAAGTCAGAAAATAAGTCCAGAGCCTCATAGAATCCACTCTTGACTGTAAGGAAAGAATGGTATGGCTTAAATAATGATAGTCGTAACAAATTCTATAGAACTGCCCCTAAACTATGAAACCTATTAGAGCCTAGCCCTTTCAGAAGATTGCTAGCTTCACCAATCCCCATCTCATAAAAACTAGAATCCACTCTCATTAACAAGGACCACAGCAAGAGACCCAGACTATTACTCTATTAAAAAAAAAAAAAAAAAAGCATCTCAGGGCGTCCAGGTGGCTCAGTCGGTTGAGCATCCAATTTCGGCTCAGGTCATGATCTCATGGTTCGTGGGTTCGAGCCCCACGTTGGGCTCTGTGCTGATGGCTAGCTCAGAGCCTGGAGCCTGTTTCAGATTCTATATCTCCCTCTCTCTCTGACCCTCCCCTGCTCACTCTCTCTCTCTCTTTCTCAGAAATAAGCAAAACATTAAAAAAAAATATTTCTTTTCTCTCTCTCTTTGTTGTTATTGGTTTTTGAGAGACAGCCCAAGTGAGCGAGGTGCAGAAAGAGAAAGAGAGAGACAGAGAGAGAGAGGAGAGAGAGAAGCAGGGATCACCCAAAGCATGGCTTGAGCTCACCCAAAGTGGGATTCAAACTCATGAACCATGAGATCATTACCTAAACTGACTGAGCCACCCAGGCATCCCTGACTTACGATTTCTCAGAAAGGTTCAGTTAATTCAAACATGAATTAATATGCTGAACCCACTGAACCCAAAGGTGCAGGGTTCAATCAAGCATGAACCGAAGGAGGAAGTACAGCACTGCACACAAAAGGGCTGTGCATGAAGCTCTGGTCTAGGCGCTGACACAGACTTAAGTTAGCTTTGGGCTAATTATCTCTGCTCTCTCAACCTCAGCTTCCTCATCTGTAGAAAAAGGCTGTAGTGACTTAAACACGTATTATTATGTAATGGAGTAAGATTGAGTGTGATGCTCTTAGGTGGTTTCTGTTACACAGTTTATACCCCAAAATGTGAACTCCCATTGGGATCAGATGGCTCAGGCAAGAGCAGGTGGGGATCTGGTGCTTCAAGGAGGTGAAGAATGGGCCAGGAAGCCACTGGCCACCTCTATCCAGGAAACAGACTCAGGTCACAGCCGAAAGAATTGCCTGATAATGAGACTTGACATTTTAGAATGATAAAGCTAGGTTTTGGAATCTCTTCTCTGAGATATTTAAAAGTAGGACAAATAATTTCACCATACACTGATCTGAAGAAGGGATTCAGATGAAAAGATTTCTCAAGTTTGATGCAAACATGCTAAAAATCCATGTAAAAAGCAATGCATTAAGTTGCCATTGGGGGAAGCTAAAATTTGAGCAAAGCTTTGTAATTCTGGAAAAAAGCATACAGGTGACTCAAATCATATTGAGAGTAGATCTCTCATGAAATGTATTCCCCATCGGTTCTCTGGAAGCTGCCTTAAAGGTGAATAGGAACAAAAATAGTTCTTAAAAACCTTGAAGTGAATTAGATTAATATTTGGATTTTATAAAATGCACTAAACCAATTTCATCAAACATTTTTCTGAACTAGAACTGCTGCTGGGCTAAGAACATAATCTTCCTGCCAAGTTCCCGGTGGGAGCAAATTTTCATTGCGAAGTTATAAACCTCTGGGGGGGAGGAATGAGAAACCCTGTGCATAATGGAAAGTGTGACACAGCCCTGATGTATGAAGACTACCAGGTGCAGCAGTAACAGACTTCTACTTAGAAATCTTCCAGCTCCGATCCTGGCCTCGAGCCTTATAGTCTGCACAGATTTCTAACATAGACTCTGAAGGCCAGATTCTGGGCACAACTGGCCAACTATATCGGGCATGGAGAGTAGAATGTTACAGACCAACAGACACATGTAAGGCACAGCTGCAGAAGCCCTTCACATCTGTTCTTCCACCCTCCACCTCACTTGGATTATGCTTGTCTTTATTTGAGCAGGGCTTTGGGGGAAGTTCTGAACCTCAGGAACAAAAGAACCTCTCCCACAACCTCCACGGGACCTGCTAATAATCCCACTTTCATATCCTCTATCCACCATCCTGGTAGACAAACTCACGATGTTCACCTGGTCAAATAATCTACCTGCCCTCCCTGCCTGTATCTCTTCCTGCCCCCATCCCATTCTACATAGAACCGACATACCCATTTTCTTAAGTGGTAACTCTGCTTGTAGTTATCTATTGCTCAAAAATCATTACTGGCTTCCAGCGCCTGTGAGGAAGGTTAATCCTTAGCCTGGCATATAAAGCCCTCAATGATTTTGACCTTCATCTCTCTATCGCTGCTATTATCTCCACGAATGTACCAAATATGCCTCTCCACCTGAATGTGCTCTCCAAATGATGGCTTTTACCTCTCAGTTCCTTGGCTCATGTGGTTCCTTCCACTGGGAACTCCCCGTGATGACACCTCTGCTCGGCCACACCCAATCAGCCTCCCACAGCCTGGCTTCAGTTTGCCCCTACAAAATCTTGTCTAGCCCCATGGTTGGAAGTAATTTCATGCTTGCTCAGATCCCAGAGGCCGCATGTACATTTCTTATGACACTTAATGCAGTGTACGCTGTACTGTTACCATCTGCATACCAGTCTCATTTATCTTCCCAGACCATACGCTGCTTGAGGGAGAGAAGATGGTCAATTCACTTCATATGCCTCATACCACTTAGCATAATTCATGACCATTCTTTTTTCTTTCCATGATAATTCTGGGTAAGTGTGTTGAATGACAAAAGAAAAGGCACAATGTATAGTAAAACTATTTTTAAAAAGATACAAAGCTCATTAAAAAGGAATGTAATTTGACAAATGTTACAACACGGAATGGGTCTTGAGAACATCATGCTACGTGAAATAAGCCACACCTGATAGGACAAATATCACACAATTTCACGTATGAGGTACCCAGAAGAGTCAAACTCACCGAGACAGAGAAGTAGAGTGGTGGTTGCCATGTGGTGCCAATAGAGGGAATGGGGACTTATTATTTAACGGGTGCAGAGTTTCCGCTTGGAATAATGCAAAACTTTGGCAAATGGACAGTGGTGACAGTTATTCGACAACATGAACATACTTAGTGTCACTGAAATTTTACCTTAAAAAATGGCAAGCTTTATGTACATTTTACCACAATTTTAAAATAAGATAAATGAATAAATGAGTGAATAAAAATAATGGGAAGATTGGGGGGAGAGAAGAAAGAAAAATGAAAAAACACGGAAAGCTGAGTGGTCACTTGGCTGTTGTAAAAGTAGCCCTTTGAACAGAGCACCTGGGGGACAGTGTGAGGTGTACAGAGTGGCTCACAGACTTGGCCATGAATGGGACTCTGCCTCTTGGTGGCTTTGTGACCCCCATGTTTTGTGACAGTCACCAGGGAGGAACTGAAGAGACAGAGGCTTGCTGTACACAGAAGCCCCACCCACATCCCATGGCCAATCTTCCCGGCTCGGGCTACCGTATTCCAGCTTCCACCTAAATGAGCACTTGCAATCTTTCATTTGTATACATTTTCTATTTCCTTTATTTTTCTGGCCTCTCATGGGCTCTCTGCAATTCATACATTTTTTGTTTGTTTGATTCTAATCTCTCTTGGTATCAGCCCAAATTGGACCCCCTGTAGCTCTGGGAGGCACTCTGCCCATCACCCTGGTCTGGGTAAGTAACCTCCACTGCTTTCTGCCAGTTGCTACAGCAATCTAATATCCAATTAAGTATTTCACTGGCAAAGCCATACTAGCTTGTTTTGTAGCTTTGCTTGAAGTCCAAGTAAATTATGTCCATTGCTTCACCCAGTGGGTTCATTGTCACTGACTCAAATTAATGTGCTGGTTAAACCCGACTGACTTTCTGTAAATCTATCTCTATCCAATTTGTGTGTTTCCAAGTGTTCTAGCTTAATCCCTGATCAAAGATCACAGGTTCTTTTCCAATTTAAGAGATGGGTTTATAGGTATGTGGTTATCAATTTAATCCCTAAACTTCAAAATACACAGAGATGATGTGCTGTGTCTCCTTAAGCCCTTATCTGTCTATGCTGTTTTACTAGAAGCAAAAAAGAAAAGTCTGCCACATATACTTTCTTTTACTACCATTCCTTCTGAAATATTTTATTTCTACTTTCTTTTTGCAATTTCCTAATAATTTTTTTCCATTACCTAAAACAGAGTCAAAAATATTTGTTCTATTATTTCTGCTGTCATCAATTATACATGGTCTGCCTCCAGGATATAGCATTTCTTGCTTGTTTTCCTCAGCCTCTCTAACAAACACAAAAGAATCCTTTTGTTCCTCAGAGAATTGTCTCGGCTGACACCTAGACCTGTCAACACATCTCCAGGTTCATCCCTTCTTACTGTGAAATTGCTTGTCCTTACATCACGTGAATGCTTCTTTCCATTGAAGGGCTGCCCTAGTCACATTCTTTTACTTTAGATTTATGGGACAGAGCCATGGTTTGAGGGGAAATTTTATGCTTGTTCTCATTATACTCAGTAGGTGAATCTGTGCTCATACTGTACCAATACAATGCAATGAGCACTACTTCTATGAAATTCTATCAGGAAAAATTCTACCACAGAAGAACCCCAGGCTTCTGCACTTTGCCAGAGCAGGAGTTGTGGCTGTTTAGGTTGTGAATCAAGGAATCTAAGATCCTGAAATATTTTCTGAATCATACTGATGTGGAAGTTAATCTTCCCTCCATTTTTAGTACTAAGTACTTTTTATTGTGTTAAAAATTTTGAACTATCAAAACAGATAATCCCTACATGGCATACTTGGTAGTTTTCTACTAACCAAAAACTTTCATTCCCAGTGGATAATAGGATGTTTTCCTACACTATTTGTTTGCACACATTTTTCCTATTGTTTTCATAGTCAGGTGGACCTAAGAACACAAGTTAAATAAATACCATCACCATCAGCATATGAAGGCAACGGGGCTGTGAAAAGTTGGTCAGGCTATTATATTTAATATTCTATTGAATATACAGATTATAAAAATATAAACTTCAGCAGAAATCTTCTCCAAGGACCCCTTTTCCACTTGTAAAAATGGAAATGTTATATGAAAAACCTGCCAGAGAATTCCAGAGTGCCCGTGCCCATCTGTTCCATCATTAAATTCTCCATGTTCCTATGTGATGTGCATCCCGGGTTCCCTGGACCACCATCACCTGTCTGCATTAGCGATTTCTCCCTTTCAGATGCACCGAACAGCAGGAGCCTGCTGTTAGAAATGAGCTCCTCTAAGAGGAAAGGGTCAGAATGCAGAAGCCACAGAGATTGAAGACATCTGGCAACTGAAAAGGAATTCATAATGGGGGAGGGAGGCAGTGGTGCCAGCACCAGTGCCTAGGGAGAGGCTGGGCGAAATGAACGATCACTCAGAACAGTCACACAAACACCACAAATGACAGGGAAAAGAGGAGAGAGACTCAGGGCAGGAAGGAAAAACTACAGATCGATGCCTGGGAGTGGGGACGAAAGAAGGAGCCTTTGTGACCAAAAGAAAGTAAACAAGTCCCTGGACTAACTCCAGGCACAGAACCTCTATCCCTGGAAAGTGGGGCAATACAACAGGAAAAAAGGCCGACTCTCAGAATAAAGGATTAAGCGAATGCAGGGCAAAATTTCCAAGCTTTACTAAGAGCACAACAGATGAGGGGAGACAGAATGATTTTATTTGTGGGGGAGGAGCACTTTTCAGGGTGCTGTCTCATTTCAAAACTGGCTTTATAAGGATTAGACCTACGGAAAACGATTTCACCTCACTATGAAAATATATAATTGTGTACTCTGTACTTAGTGCATGTAGGTTGTTTGAAGTTTCTTCTTGTTCAGTTTATTTTTTGATAAAGAGGTATGTATGCTTCCCAAATTATATGAAGGCCTGCCTCAAATTTTGGTGGGTACAAATGTCCATCTGAAACATGGACCTGAGGTAAATTTAAGTTACTGTAATGTGTAACATTTTATAATAAGACTTTAAATCAGTAACTGAAAATGAGACCTACACTGCAATACCCCCACAAATCAGAAACTTGCTTTATTTATAAAATGCAGGTACAGAAGGAATAAAGCTTACAGAAACAATAAAACAGATGGCACTTTAAAAAACAAATGTTTATATATTTATGCAGTATGTGAAAACAGTCCACTATTTTAGGGTGCTTCAGGATGTTTTCCCAGCCAACCACCAGTGCTTCATTTTTAATTCATATAATCCTAGCAGGTTTTTTGTCTTGCTAAATATATAGTTTTTCCTAACGTACTCCTAGGACACGACTGGTTGTATCAAACAGAACTACTCCCATGTGTAATCATGATTCAAAGCCAGAATCAGTAAAACAGGGCTCTTCCTTTGAGTGGAACCTAGCCCAGTGGGTGTCAGGAAGGGAACTCAGGTCTCTCAGAACTTAGGCACACTCTCTTAGCTCAGGAAGAATAAAAAGAGAATTCTCTTGGTTGGCAGAATTCTCCAGCTGCTTTATAACTAGCAGGTACTGATGTAAATGTTTCATAAAAAAAGGCAAAGGATGAAAAGAGGAAGCAAAAGCTGGAGATGGAAGAGAAGGAAGAAGGAAGTAGATGCGAACCAAGTTCCAGGGATTAACACGTTTCATCTGGTTACAATTCTGGAGTGGTTGTCTGGAGAAAATAAACAAAAAGAGGGCTGGAGGCCTAACCCATGTAAGGAACACAGCAAATGGTACAAGAAAGCCAGTGCTTGATTGTTACTACAAATTCATTTAAAACAAATTTGGAGAATGTGGAAAAGTATCCTCATGTTAGAATAAATATTCCAGCACAAAGCTTGCTATGCATTGTTTTTTTCTCCGGGGACAGCAGACTCACCTCTCACAAACCACAGGCCTAGACTCATTCATGACAGGGCCCAGGGACGAACATGGCTGACGAGGAGGTGGAGCGATGGGAACAGCCGAGTCCAGGGAGCTAGTCTTCCGATGAAGAGCATCCTGGGCCACAGCAGCAGCCGCGGCCACAGACGCGACCGGACCGTCCCCATCCGCGGGGCAGGAGCCGGGCCTGCCGTGGGCGCCCCCTAACGGCAGCTCAGGCCCCACTGCTCCCTGCAGAGGCAACTCCCCGCCACCCAGCTCCACTTCCAGGGTGGGTGAGGCTGGAGGAGATGCTCGTGGCTTACGTTTAGTGGAGGCCCCAGAAAGCAACTTCAACAAACCCTTTTTTTCTTTCTAGAAAAAAACAAAGTACATTAATTGGAGATGGATGGTACTGTCGTTATTGTAATCGATAGGGTGCTACGGTTTCAGTTTTTGGTTTGATTTTTTTGCATGTTTATTTTTAAATAATTTCTATACCCAACATGGGGCTCTAACAACCCCAAGATCAGGAGTTTCATGATTTACTGACTGAGCCAGCCAGGTGCCACTGGTTTGATCGTTTAAGATTCATTTCTGTGGATATGTGGTTATTTATGATGTCGCTCCCAATTCCTTCCTGTATGAGGTTAACCTGACATTTGGTTCTCTTCCTTCTCCCTTTCTGCCTGCATGTTTGTGCTTGTTTTAGACACTTCACTGTTCATCTTGTATTGAGACAGAAGAAGTAGATAAAGAAGAAGTAAAACAAAGAACACACCAAGTCACATCTCAGGCTTGGTGAAGACAGAAGTAGACATTTTAGGACAAAATGGATTATGGGTTTAATTTCTTGCGATTATGCCTACACTATCTCTAACTCTTATGTGCTGAATTAAATATTAGAGCATTTTATTCTCCATCCACAGACTTGATTCTTATCATTTATGGATAGTAATATCTTGATCCGGGTTAAGGACTAAAACAGTTCTCACATGTCACCATCTTGAGGAAATTTAATAAGTCAATAATGACAGAAGTCAAACCATTCTATTGTGCAAGAATCTCTTGGATTAGAAAGCCAAAACAACTCCGTGAAATGTTAAATAAAGCTTCAGTATAATCAAAAACATTTTTATGTCTCTTTGCAAGCAAATGCAGAAAAAAATTTTTTCCCAGCAATCTTACCCCACAAAAACCATCTCTCAAATCTCGTCTCTTTTGACACTCTTTGCTCTGCTAGGAAAACCAGACTAGAGCTAGCTTTTCTTCATTTCTAAACCCTGCGTCAATGTTCTTTCTGACAACCAAGCATAGACAACAATCATTTCACGTTGTTTTACTAAGAGGTCAATGACATCACAAAGTCCTCTGAATGGAAACATTTCATAGAGAAATGTTTTAGAAAACTATAGGCAAATGGAATTACAAGGTCCACTAATAGAGAAACAGAATTATGAGGGACCCACATGGACAGAACACTGAGGAATTTTTCTTGAGAATATGAGTTAGTTCACACTCAGTAAAAATCCCTTGGGGAAAAGGGTGTGAATCCATAAAAAACACAGTTCCATTAGAGATGGAATGGCAGGAAAAAGGAAGAGACAAAAGTAATGATTTAGCCAGATGACGATAAAACATTCCAGGGAAGAAGCATCCCAGGAAACTGCAGGCCCCATTTACCGAATACTGTTCACAGTACGAGTCAACGCATGGGGTGGAAACAGGGGATGGGGAAGGATGGTGGGAGTGCTGAAGTCATCTCTGTACAGCTCAATGCAGGCTGCAGGTGAGCAGAACCAGTCAATGGATCCCCACCTCCTCTTCTCCCCATCCCAGCCTGAGGAAGATTCTTTGGCATTTTTCTTCAAGGCCTGCCTTAACTCACCTTGCTGGCTTTTGCTTCATTTGTTTAGCTTCTCATTTTCCAAGGGGCTACTAATACATTCCAATAAATGACCCTGTAAACTTGGACTACCTGCTTGAATGCCTGGACCCCATCTTCCCAGCGCCTAGTGCAGAGATGCATCTACTGAGCTGAGAGGCCAAGACTGAAAGAGGATGAGATGGAGGAAGGGAGATGATTTAGCGAGTCCCAGGGCTAAGGGAATAAGAGAATATTTTGTAGTTTTCAAATTCCAGAGAGATAAAGATTTCCCTTTATACAATGGCCGCAGAAGTGGGCTGACCAAATACCTGCCAAAGCCGCGGCTACACTTCTTTATGGGAGCCTGAGGTCTGGAGGGCCGAAAAATGAGCTGAGAAAGAATAACGTCTACACTTCTAAGGAGGCAGTCCGCCACAACTTCCAGCTATTCCTGCCATGATGTAAGAAAGCATGCTCTAATCCCTGGACCCCCACAGATCCACTGAGAACATCAAGTCCAGTGATAAATTACAATCTCAGCAAGCCACAGCTACAGATGTTTCTTAAAAGCTCAGTTCTGGGCACTCAGAAAAATTCAGTTAACTGAATGGCGCTCAGGGAACAGCCTCTAAAGTGATTAAGAAGAAAGATGACTTGGTTCATCTAAAATGATTAAACACATTAAATACAGCTTGCCTTAATGACTTCTAAGGGATATGTTATCACCATCAGCTGATACCGACTACCCACTGAGCAGAAGGCAGAGGATTAGGTGTTGTGGCCGGGTGTGGGGGTATGGGGTGGGGGTGCTAACAAGGAAAAGATGCTGCCCTAGTTCCACCGAAGCGTGCTTTTAATATCATATTCTCATGTTTTCTATGTTAGCAGAACAGTGTGCTGCTGGAGACAGATAATTCTGCAAACACAGACACTTATTATCTAAGGGCACCTTTGTTTTTTTCAGAATCCAACAGCAGAAATGAAAACTATAGATGAGTTAGTAAGGACTACACTTCAAAGAATTTTTTTTAATGTTTTATTTATTTCTAGGAGAGAGAGAGAGAGAGCGCGCGCGTGAGCAGGGGAGGGTCAGAGAGAGAGGGAGTCACAGACTGAAACAGGCTCCCTGAGCCGGCAGTCAGCAGAGCCCGATGCGGGGCTCGAACCCATGAACCACGAGATCATGACCCAACCGAAAGTCGGATGCTTAACCGACTAAGCCACCCAGGCGCCCAGCAAAGAAATTTTTCAAATGTAGTGTTAACATGCATGAAAAACGGACATATCTTTTAACATGAACCTTAATAACTCTTCTCCTGTAGGTTTTTCAAGAAATTATTCCTAGATTGAATAATGTTTTTATATTCATAATTTTCTCTTCAGAAGATCAACTATTTGGGTCAGAAAATAATTACCAGATGATGAGAAAGAGTAATTTTTACACATAAAATTTTACACATAAAAATGACTAGCTTTCCGTTAGTCATATCATGGAGGATGAGTACAAGATGGGAAACCTCAAGTTCTCCTCAAGCAAAAATAAATTTCATTTGAGCAACTCATGAAGTGTAACACATTCTACCCCTGAGTCTTCTTTATTCCTCTCCTTGCCTTCAGATGTACAAAGAAAGTAGCAAAAGATAAATACTCTTCCAGGCTATTGTCATCAAAAATCTACAGTCATATTCCCAACTATCAGTCACTATTCTTAGATAAAGCATCTCAAAAGCTTAATTCATATGATTGTCTAATAATAATCATTCATTCTTTCAACAAATATTAACTGAGTGTCAAATATGAACCAACAATATGCGAGGCTCTGGGAATATAAGAGTGAGCAAGACAATAAGGAGTTCACATTCTCTAGCAGAGGCATAAACATGGCTGTAAAACAGGCACTCTGCAGGAAAATAAAGCAGGGCAAGAGAGTGAATGACCAGAGGTGCTGAGATGGGAGCCGCTCAGGAAAGGCTTGTTAATTTTTATTTTAAATTATTATTATTATTATTATTATTATTTTAAGGAGTTTCCATACCCAACATGGGGCTTGAACTCAAAATCCTGAGATCAAGAGTCATATGCTGTACTGACTGAGCCAGCCAGATTCCCAGGAAAGGCTTCTTTAAAGAAGTGAATGGAGAAGGGGAAAGGCCATGTGAAATTTGATGATCAAACACCACTGGGTTCAAGAATCTTGTTAAATGCTTTTATAAACATTTCCACATTTATTCCTCACACTCACCTGATGCAACAGGAATCAGTATTATTCCCATTGTCATTATTCTCTAAGCTTGCCTAAAATCATACTGCTAGTAAGGGGTGGAAGTGGGATAACCCAGCCTTTGCTCTTCTCTTCTGGAAGTTAGCACAGGCAACAACTCTAGAAGCCCATCTACTCTATGGAGTGATAAGAGCAGATATGTTTGCCTAAGAGTCACAACGTTAAGGGTCACTCTGAATGGAACTGTGCGCACATCAGCACTGTCCACAGCTGGTCTGTATCCCAGATGCTGCAAGGGCAGGAATGTGACTCCAATCACTAAACATGGATGACGGCTTCTCTGAGAAAATGAAATGACAAAGCTTACAGACCAGCTTGGTTTTGACAGTGAAATAAGAACTGGGAAGAAGGAAAATCATGCGAGCAAAGAAAGTGATCAGTAGGGACCTCAGGACAGTGTTCAGAACAGAAGAAAATGGGTATTTATTTATTACTTTTTTAAGATTTATTTTTAAGTAATCTCTACACTCAACATGGGGCTCCAACTTACAACCTTGAGATCAAGAGTCACATACTCTACTGACTGAACCAGCCAGGTGCCCCGAAAATGTGTATTGAAAAACTAGAAGGGGATGCCTGGGTGGCTCCATCAGTTAAGTGTCTGACTCTTGATTTCAGCTCAAGTCCTGATCTCTCTTCCAGAGATCGAGCCTGTCTCAGGCTCTATGTCTGCAGCGCAAACCCTGCTTGGGATTCTTTCTCTCCCCTTCTCTGGCTTGCAAAATAAATAAACTTAATAAAAATAAAAATAAAAAACTAGATGGACCCTCTACTTAGGAAAACCAAGAATAAGAGCAAAGGTCCTCAAACAGCAAATTGTTTGAAGATCTGTGCTTGTTCCTTAAGAGGAGTCACTAGGACTTTGGGGGTGGGATGTTGGTGGCACTAAATGTTCAAATTTTTGCGGCCCACATGTAGAAATGTTATCTCTTAGGAACAAATCCGGGATACAGGAAAGGGCATGAGAACCAATACCTACTTCTGCTGATTGGTAAGGAAATAAATGACAATGTCAGAAAAAACTTACGCTATCACGGTAAGGGAAGGAAATGGAAGCAAGGGGGGGTAATAAAGTGGTGCCTCAGAAATGGTTTCTTCTCTTATTATGTGTGAGGGTTAAAACTGTTAATTAAACCATTAGAGATTTAATTAGAGGCCATTAGGACTGAGGTGATTCTAAAGCCCCAAACTCTAAGCCTGTAAACATCTCAACAGGTTAAGAAATCAAAACCTATAAGGACAACCAATCACAAACAGCCAACTGGGCTTTCCCCAAATAAGGAAACCACTTAAACTACAGCCAATCAAATAACTTCCTTGCTCTGCTTTGACGTGTCCTTTACATAATTTTTGCCCCTAGGCTCCTTTGATAGAGTCAGTGCTGCCTGATTTGAATATATTTTTACTCAAACTCTTAGAATTTTTAGTATGTGTCAGTTTATCTTCTAACAAAATGTAGAGAATATAAGAACAATCAATTAAATAATTGGTGCTGGAAAAAACATTTTGTTTTCTGGATAACAAATATACCAAAATAATATTTACCATATTTTGGTAGATAAGGGGGAAAAAGCATATATACACCACAGTATTAACGGCTATTTTTGAAATCTTGGATCGTACTTAGGTCTTCTATTTGGATAGACTTTCTCTCACTTTTAATTAAGTATGTATATTTTAAAAAATTTTATAAGAAAATACAACATATAAATACATATACACACACATACATAAGCATCTCATAAGCATTGGGAAACACATCTGCCTGGAGACTAGCTACTCAAATAATGAAGCCTTTAAACTGAATATGAAGTTAGAAAAATGTCCAGATAAAGCTGTTAAACTGATAACCATAGAAGACATGAGGGATCTCAAAGAAAGGGGACGAGCAATGGCAGAAAGGCCCAGGATTTCAAACAAGGAGTAACTGAGATGATGTTTGGAAATATATTAGAGTTTCAGATGCTTATTTACCAAGCCACAGAATGCAGTTACCAGGCAAAAATTAGCTAGAGGGGCAAAAACACTTTCTTTTTTTAAGTCAAGGACAAAAATCACATTTCTGAGACTTTGTGAGCTAAGACTTCCAAATAAAGTATTGTTCAAAAGGAATAGCTCAGTTAGGAGAGGCTGCAATAGTCCTTTATGCACATCAAAAAGTTGTATGTCTCTGTGGAACATCAGTGGTAGGTAGCTTACTGGAGATGATTTACATACAGAGGAAAGGACAGGGAAATCGACAAACTATTACTCGGGGGATATACCACACACTATCTATAGAGTTTAAGCAAATGGATGATGCTGATCACAAAATGATGAAAGAAGATGGAGATAACAAGAGAACTGTCAAATACCTAGATAGTTGTTTGAAGTCTCAACAAAAACTAGGATCTCTATAAACTTAAAATCTCTGATAGATATTTTTCTTGAATTGTTCATAATTTAATCTCACTTTGGATCAAATTCTGATCAACTGGAGGAATGATAGAGACCAGGTAGGGAGTGGAGTGGTTCAAATGGTGAACAGAAATATTGAAAACTTCGAAGTAAGCACCCAAAGAGAAGTCGGTTATAGTCAGATTTGAACTCTAAAAGAACTGATTTTAAAAGTTCAGACAAAATATATGCATGACCTGAAACTCAAAAGGAAAGATACTTCAAGAGGAATGGGAGGGCTCTCCAGAATGCTATTCTAACCATCCAACTGTAAATTATCTGAGCAGATGAAAATGTGGAGACATCGAAAGGCACTAATGTGATCTCCCAGAGAGCAGACTAATGGGCTCAAATTTTTAAAGGACCCAGTATAAAAAGATCAAGAGAAGGGACCATAAAAAAGAGCATATCATGGCCCATCACAGTCTCAACTTGGGGGAAAAAAAGGGGGGGGGGGCTAGCCTTAAAGTTATGTTTGAAACAAGAACAGGAAAAACATGCTGTTTGAGATCGCTGGTGGTTCTCAGAAAGTATGAAGAAAGAGAAGGATAATCTTCAGACTAGAAAGAAAGAACAAACGCTGATATGAGGGAAATGAGTGAAGATACTGGGGTTTAGAGACTCAATAATTATGTGACAGGATGAATTGATCCCAGCACACAGAGAAAATTAACAGCTAAAATGCAACCATAATCTTCAACAGATCCTGGTGAGCCTGAGGTCTGGTCAACTCAAAAGGTCAAGAAGGGCATGTGTAGTCCAAATATTCAAAAAGAATACAACAATGCTCTTTGCAGACTGTCTGGAAAATTCTAGAACAATGTATTAAATGAAAGGAAATGAGACACTGAGGAGGAGACTCCTCTCGGAGACACTTGCTAACATGAGTAACAGCTGAAATGACAGGGAGACTGGGGAATAGCTTGGATGTCCAATGCAAAAGACAACTGGATTTCAATGGGCATCTGATAAGTACTATAATATCCTTGTAGACATGATGGAGGAGTGTAGACTAAATGACACTCGAATCATGTTAATCATGGAGTTACTGATTTTATATCAACCAGGAGCCATGTCCCTGGTGGATCTGGAACATTAGATGAGGTAATTTAGGAAGGAAAATTTATAATCTGTGACATAAGTAACAATACAAACACTTCAGGAATGTAGCCTTAAAAAAAGAAGACAATTCTGAAATAAATCAAGGTATCATACAGAAAGGAGATCAACACTTTTTATGTAACTCCTCAGAATAAAGAAAATGGCGTGGGACACTCTGGAGCTAGGACACTCATGGTCAAATAGGGTGTCTAAACTGAGACCAGTGGCCATTTGTCAAGGATGGGGACTCAACAGGATAGCCCATTAGGTCCTGTATTAGTTGCTGCTGTAACAAATTACCATAAACTTTGTGGTAAAGATCAAGTCTTAAAATTAAGGTTGATAGTAGGGCTGTATCTCTTACAGAAGTCCTACTGAAGAATCTATTTCCTTGCCTTTTCCAAATTCTAGAAGCTTCTTGCATTTTTTGGCTTGTGGCTCCCTCCTAAAATCAATCTGATCTCTGCTTCTGATGTCACATTTCTTCTGGACCTGATCTCCCTGCCTCCCTTTCAGTAAGATCCATGTGATGTTATAGGGCTCACCCAGATAAGGTAGAATAATCCCCTCATCTCAAGACCTTTAATTTAATCATATATATAAAATCCCATTTGCCACATAAGAAAACATATTGTCAAATTTCAGGGATTAGAATATGGCGTCTTTGGGGAGCCATTATTCTCTCTGGCACAGGTCCTTTTCAAGCCTCGGATTCAATGAATTCCTTCCTGGGAGGGCGGGAACTGAAGAGTCTCTGTTGTTAGTGACCAGGGCCCTGAGACACACTCACTATCCAAAAACCTTAGATTCTAAACTACAAAACAATTCTTTAAAGATCTTGACAAAGTTGAACACGTCAGCTTTAGTACAAGTTTAATGTAGTTAATTATAAACAATGAACAGATACCAATCTTTTTCAAAAACACTGTTAACCCAACAATTAAATATTAACTTTTTAGTAGGCTGTAAAGTTTATTTCCTTATAAACTCCTATTTACAGGCTTACCTAACCATTTAAATACAGCGACATACCTTACCACCGAACCAGGTGGCTCAGAGTTTATGATTAGCCTAGAGCTTCCCAGAACCAGGCTAGAGCTCTAGGAGAAAATGCATGAAATACTGAGGAAAACACAATATTCTGATTACTTCATCTGATTATAATGCAATTATCCAGACTTTGTTATCCCTCTTACATTTCTGTTCACATTCAATCACCATCAATTTCCCTTGCCTCCAATCACCTGTCTCCAAACCCAACTATAGGTTAGTCTTTCAAACACAGCCTTCCATTTATATTTTCTTTGAAATTCAGCTCCAAATGAGAGCTTTTTAAAACATCTGTGGATTGAGAAAATAGTTTTTCACTCTTACTTCAAGTCAAGAGAAAAACTATCCGTCCTGATTATAAACAAATAGCTGTAGAAAAAATAAATCCACAAATAACATTTTTCATCAACAATTTCAACCGCTTTGTATATTAAATATTTTTTTGCAGAACTGACTGAACAAGAAGACTTAAGCACAGCACAATGATGAAAGGAGTAACTAAAGGGGAAAGGAAATTCCTCCATGAGATGTAAGCTGCACAAAAGTGACTTAATCTTATTCACTGTAGTTTCCCTAAACATTCGATATTAGGCCTTGCAACTTAGTGGGTGTTTCAATGCAGAGAAACATGAATCTAGCACCTGGCGCAATGACTCACACATGGTAAGCACTTGAAGAATTGTTGGACAACGAGTCCTTTCATTAGTTAGGATGGGACACAACATAAGCAGGGGAACAGGATATTGGTCTTACTTTACTATCTTTATCTGGCTTGGTTGCTGAACTGTTCCCACAGGCCAATGATGCGCTGTCAGGAGAGGTGGGAAGTCCAGGAAGAATGGTCACTGTCCGACCACTGGGTTCAGTCTCCAGTGAGGCGGTGGTGATGCTTGGAGAGGTCAGTGAAGCAGCTGCAGCACAAGCCAGGGGAGCACTGACTCGACCCATATTGACAGTAGCCACGTGGGTGCCAGGGCCTGCCATTGGAGGTGGAAGTTGTGTGGAGGCCAAGGGATGATGGGGCAGGCCCATGGATGCAGGGTCCAGGCAGGCAGTGTTCTGTACCTGGATGGGCGTCACTGCTGCTGTAGGGCGTTCTTGGTTATGTGCCGCAACTAGTAGATGATGGGAGAGAAAACAGCAAAACGTGACCTTCTAATAAATGCCACTCACCAAACCATGAGTCATTTCACTGCATCAGACCCTAATGAAAGGTTGCTATTGCAATTTTACAATAAATAATGGATGCACAGTGGTTTAAAAGCACTTAATCTTAGCTGGGTTCCTAGACACTGTTTTCCTTCCAGATCAGCCCTTGAGTCCACTGAGAGCCTGGAAGCTTAGCAATAACTCCTGGCTGTTCAGTTAGAAAGTCTTTCCACAGAGTTATGGACACAGCCAGCCTTTGATGGTACTCTACAGTGTCAGATTAGGTTGGCCTCCAGGCCTTTTGAAAATTATTCTCCATTTTCTTAAAACAAACAAACAAACAAACAAACAAATAAATAAATAAAATTATTCTTCCTTTTCTTATTAGTCATCTTCCATTTTTTGGTTTTTCTGGCAGAAGTTACAAGTTTACCCTATCACTGTTACCCAAGACTCTCAGTAGGTTTTCAATGCTATAGGAAGAAGAAAGGTATTTAAGATCCCATTGGGTTTAAAACAAACTTGGAATGAAGTTCATCAGAAATCTTCAGCACACCAGTTCACACAGCAGGGAGATCTGAGCTCATACAGTCTTGAAAGCAGAAGTCATATTTCCAAATCCTACTGACATTCTCAGGATCAGCCTAATTTCTTTCAGACTTTCAATCTGTAGATCAGGCTTGAATTCATGTGGGGGACAGGCTTAGCCAAAATAAGCAGATGTGAAGTGTGCCACTGACTAGACTGTGCCTGCTTCTAACTCCTAATGTTATTCATGACTTTAACATTACATCTGCTTTTCTCAACATCTGTTATAAAAGATCTGGTACTAGTCAAGCAAGCCTCTTCCTGATACCTTCCAGTCTGGACTCCTCCTTACCTGTCCTCACAGCATTACGGGCCTGGTTGACTGTCATCTGCCCAGTCATGTGCAACAAGACCTTCGCCTGAGGACTTGTCTGGATATGAGCGGCTGACACCACGGCTGTGGGGACAACACTGGGACTCCCAGCCATACCATTTCCCTGGAGCTTCTGGGCAGGCCCTCCTGCCGTGGAAGGAGTGACCATAGTCACCCCTCGACTGGTCTGACCCGCAGTAGACATAGGGACTTTAGCTTGGGAAGCATTTGTCACGGCCCTGCCAAGACAGAAACATAGACAGAAAGCCCAATCCATCAGCAAGATGAAAGAGAGAACAATTAAATGCAAGAAAAATGACTCAGGGCTTTAAGACAGAACATTTTAAAGAATGAATGGAATTAATTTTTACAAAATATAAGAATCACAAATTCAAAGTAAAGATGGCCCTGAGGGAGAGAAAGGTCTTGAAATACATTCTGAGTCATCGAAAATCACCCCATTCTGGTCAAGAATATACAGTTACTGGGTTCAGCTTTCCAGATCAAGGCTCAACATCTCTTGCCTATAAGGTCCTGAATTCTTCTGCTTCAGCTATCAAAGAAGCTGATTTGTTTGTTATTGCTGCTAATAACATTAGCAGTTTTGCTACATTTGCATAGCTTTGCTCATGTTTTTTGCCCTTATCCCTGCCTGCTCCTAGTGATACATCACAAAAGTGCCTGTGTACACGCACACGTGTGCACATGCACACATGCACACACTCTTGGAATATCCTCTCTGGCTTCTCTTGACCTGTCTTAATCTCATGTATGTTTCGAGGTCCAGCACCAATCCTATCTTTTTAAGATAGGCTTAGGCTTAAGACCTTATGATTCTATTAGTTCATGTGAATTTCTTTCTTCTACAATGCGTGATTACAACATATGTCATTTTTAATATGTAAATTCTTTATTAAGTACTCCTGATTAAGTAAAAGTTCCTTGAAAGTAGGCCCAGTGTGAACTGATTCTTTCACATTCCTCCAGTGATCGTGAAAGAGACAGCTCTAAACATTTACAGGTTGAAATAAATTAGGTTCAATGTAGTTTCATATAATGTATTTTTTTAATATCCTAAATTTATTTAAATAACAATTCTATACATAGTAACTTTGTACTAACTAGAAAACTTCATTAACTCAAACATCCGTAGTTACTACGACAACAGAATTTATTGCATCTCTTCAGAGACTTTTAATAATTTGCTTTTCAATGTTATGAAAATGCTTTCCTTCACTAACTTAGTCTTTGTTGTGGTTTGGTTTATTTCCCTTAGTTGTTGTGGTGGTTTATTGTTTGTTTTTTTCCCCACCAGGGAAGGTCTATCTGCCATCTTCTGGATCCTGTAGATTTTAACAAATACAGAAAAGAAGGTTTATATTGATTAAAAATCTGCAAGTCAAATTACAGCTAACATTCTGTCACCATCTGCAACAATAGTGATTTTCATTTGATTAGGCTGCTGGCCAACCTATAAATCAAGGCCAACAGCTGACAAACATGTCAGTTCATTAAGCCATTTATTTAAAATCAGGGTGTTTGAGGAATGATTTAACACAGTTAAACCTAAACCATTTATTAAAAGCCTAGTGGCTAAAAACTAGGGCTCCCTCAGTGCCATTATAGGTCCTTCCATTCAGTTTCTAAGGCTACTTTCCTTAGTGACCAGAAGGTGGATGACCTTTAAATAAAGAAGATTTTGAAAAAAGAAAGAAAATTTTGTATACTTATACCTCTTACTTTCTATTATCCTATAACAGGGCTTCTCAACCTCAGAGACATTCTGGGTCAGATTAATTCCTTTCAGCAGGAGGCTATGCTGTATAATATAGGACAGTTAGCAGCATCCTTGGCTTCTATGCACTACATGCCAATAGCAACCTCCTCCATAGCAACAATCAAAACTGTGTTCAGACATTGCCAAATTCTCTTGAGGAGCAAAATCACCCTTAATTGAGAAGGATGAAGGATCAATGTCATAGTTAAGGAATTTTATTTCTGACTATATTATAGAAATTACTGTCAGACTTCCAAGGTCATCACCAAGCTATTGGAATAAATATAGAGCCAGACACGTAGACTTAAGCGCTTCTTCACTGTGTGATCTTAGACAAGTTATTTAACCTATCCATGCCTCCATTTTCTCATGTTTTAAGTGGGAATAATAATAGTGACAACATCAATGAGTTGTTTAAGGACTCAGAATTAATACGTGTAATCCATCTAGAAATTGGCCTGCCTGGCATATAGTAAGGATTATGTAAACATGTAAGTGTTAATAATACAGCTTTTGTTTGATATTTTTTATTTTTGAGCAGAAAAATATTGAAAATGGTATAGTTGGGTCTTCTCACATATAACTTAAAACAAATAACTTCAACTCCAGTACATTTATTGCTAGAATCCTACAATTTCACATATACCCATGTGAAAAGTAAGCTAAGAATTTGAGTTAGAAGAGATTTGAGCAAATACGGATAGGAGTTTTTAAAATGTTGGCTAGGTAACAGGCAATAATTATAGTGTGAGAAGGAAACTTGGAGAGGCTGAAAACCATGGAAAAGAACAAAGCTTCTCCGTCTAGAACTTGGTAAGCCATTTATTCAAAACCATACCTTGTGACTGGTGCCACATAATTGCCAGGGAAAACCCCTATCTTGCTGGTATGCATCGATGTCCCTTTGAACCAGCCATCTTGGCAACGTTCAAACACTAAAAACATCTCCCCTTTCCTCAGTTCCAGCTCATCCTCTTTCCGGGGAGTGTATGGATATATAGCAACATACCTAGAATAGAAAAGAATATTTGATTTCAGGCTGATTAACAGACAAACCCCAGCATGCTCAAAAACTCTTCCTTGGTACAAAGTCTTGAATACTTTATACAGATGTAAACAGAAAACACAATCCTTAGCCTGTAAGTAGCGTTGGTAACTGTCCATTGAAAGAGTTTTTGTTGCCTACATTTGAAAGACAGAGGCCTTCCTGATTAAAAACTGCCCACCTGGTCCCCTCAGTGTGAAGGTGACTATCCCACTAAATGGTATTTGCAGGGTGTGAAAGAATTAATGCCACTTCCCAAAGTGCCTAACCTGCTGCTGGGGATTAGGGACCCACTGGGAAACTTGAGCTCTTCAAACAGCACTTGTTAGACGTGGGAAGTAGTCCCACATGAGGACATATGGCATGAAAGCCTGCTGGAAGGCACAACACACTGTTTTCCACACACAAGCTGAACCTCGAGGCTTGGGTTGCACCTGCTTTTGTATGCTCAGCCAGGAAAAATACTGAATTTGAAAAAGTCAAAAGGAAAAAAAGTCCAGATCATAGACAGTACAGAACCACCACACAGTGCAAGGTAACTGTGTCACCAACATATGGAAACCAGGCAGGCAATGGTAACCAATAGTTTTTACCAGGGCTCTAAACCGTTCCACGTATAAAATCACACAATCTAGGGGCCACAAAAATCCAACTGTATTCTGCCATTGGTAAATGTTAACAAGACAATTAGACTTTTTTGGATACTTATGGCTGGGGCTTACAGCTTTTCACATGCATATTTGCACTAGATCTGATTTGTGTGGAAAATACCTTCCTGTTCCTTACTGTCCTAATGCAAGGAATGAAAATGCAGACCAAAAGCTCAAACAGGAATAGTACAAAAAGACGGCTCTATGTACATATATAATATTATGAAGCAGCAAATGCTATGTTTCCCTAGACTGTGAAAGACCTCCACTCAGCAGGACGGCTGCCTAGCGAGCTCATGTATCAGACCCATTTGGTCTCAGCAGTTTCCTAATTATATGCATGACTGGGTGTGAGTCTGCAGAACACAAACCACTTTGGTGAACCATAAGCCTGTCACCAGCTCGTATCAGAAAGGTGTTTCTCTACCTCTGCTGTTGGGACTTAGTTTGAAATGAACTTTAAAGCAGTAATAAATGACACCCTCACTTACACACTGGGGCGAGTCTGAGGCCGTAAATGTGCAATCTGGTCAGAGGGTCCCACTGTGGGTCTCGGTCCCATTGCAGCAGCAGCAGCAGCAGCAGCAGCAGCAGCAGCAGCAGCAGCGCCTGGTGGTGTGGAGGCCAGTAGAGGGGGTGGGGGAAGAGGAGGATTCATAGTCTGGTATGAGAAGACAGAGAGAAGAAAAAGAAAAAGAATAAAAATGAATTATTTATTTACATCTTTTATGGAAGGGGGGAGGGAAAAGGAATCAGGAATTCATAGGAAAAGACTTTAATGGAATCCACAGGGAGCAGAACCAGCAGGCTACCTTCTATGAAAGCCTCCTTAAAAAACAAAACAAAACAAAACAAAACAAAAAACTCCAAAAAATAAAACCAAAAAAACCTCATCTCTTGTTCTCCTCTAAGACCTTAGAGCCACAGTAACTTTTTCAGCAAACAGGTATGTAATGACACTTGGGAAGAGGGAAAGAAAAAAATGGAACAATTGCATGTAATTTTAAGATTAATGGCATTTTTAAGTATAGACTTGGATAAGTCTCCAAATGCCTTTCAAGGGGGCAACTATAATGCCACACTGCTTGCTAGGAATTAATTTGTGATTGTTTCTGTAGCTTGAAACTTAAACACAACACAAAACAATTTAGCTGCACTGTATCTCAAACCATTCCTTCAGAAGAAAATTTCCTTTGATGCCTGGTTTCCAAACAGCCCGAACAATAGCAAGCCACAATCACTGGGCAATTGTTGCTACTTTTGCTTATTCTTTTCTTAACTTTGCCAGCTTTTGAAATTTAGTACTATCAAGCCTGGTAATCTTTAACAAGTACACCAGTGAAAAGCTGCTGGTTCCTTTATGGGCACAGACTAATGGGGTTCTGCCTACAGGATTCCATGCCTTTTGAAAATCAATGGAGCAATTGTTACTTTCTGATCTATAAACCCCAGATGATTCTTTAGGGTCTGTATACTGAAACTCCTGGGAAAACAGGCACACAAAGACTTGCCTGAACCCCAACCTCACCCTCCCCAAATCTTTGAACCACTAGATGTAAAAACTGAATTAAAAGAGAAATAAGGAGACTAAAGAATGCACCTAGGAAAGCATAAATGACTTCTATACATCAGTGTATAAACAAAAAAAAATCCAATAATTTGTAAACATCATTCATAACAGTCACTTCCTATTTTTTGGAATAAAAATTCACATCTCATCAACATTTGCTTCCTTCATCTGCCTGTTAATGTACACAGTTCCAGAAACACAATAAACCACATAGAAAAAAATTTCAGAATTCCTGACATACATTGCAACTGTTTCACACATTATAATTTAATTTTTTGCTGAAATGACTTTCAGGAAGGATTTTTCCCATACCGAAGCTGAAGTGTTGTAGAACATTCAGTGCAGAAATAAAGGAGGTGCAGAGCTGCCTACAGACAACCTTGTCCTAACCTGAACAAGGCAGAGGGCAGTTCAAAAAGTTAGAACCCCATGAATGCTGCTCACTGTCCATGCAAACCATGGCAGCAGCCTTAAGATTTGCTACAACTCAGGAACTGTGTGTACTGGGGCTTAGAATCTTCAAAACCTATAACCAAGCATTCATTCCACTAGGTCTCCTCCCAGTGACAAAGTAGAAAGAAACAAAGATAATCCTGGTAAAACACTGAGTACATGTGACCTGGACAGTGCAATGGTAATAACAACACATCAGTGGCTTGTCGGGCAGGATAACAAGTCTAGATTGTACACAGGATAATATACGGAGACTGTAAAAGTACCACTCAACTGATTACCACTTAAATCTTCCTAAGCCCGATCTCCAAACAGCGTGGCTGTGGAAAGCGGGGAGACCAATGCATGTGCTCAACATGGGGCCCAACACAAACCGCTCCTAGGAATTACTTAAAATAGTACCTACGGCACAGAACCAAAAAGCTTCATTTCACACTCTAAGTAGAATTCTATTTTCAAGAGGAAAGGAAATTAAAATTGTCTGTTATGGCTTAACATTATTAAAACAGAGGCTGTACTAAATTAACCCTAAGAAGAAAAAGGCAAAACAACATCTATGGACCTGACAAAAACATGTCACATTTTGTTAATAGAATGTAAAAACAAAGTCACCTCTTGTAGTTAACAATACAGTAAACAAATGTTTCATGTACATTCCTTTCACAAAGAGTAAGTTAGAAGCCATCTAAGTTACAGCTTAAAAAAGGATATTCTGAAAGACCCTAAAAGTTGTGCTTGAGACAAAGTTTAGCTTTCTTTTTTTGTGGTTGAAACACAGACAGTCTTAATAAAATTAGGCAGATTTTCCCCCCAATGTTAGGCTACATATCTTTGGGGAAATGGACATTTGTGTGTGCATGTGTACATGGGATATAAGCACACAAAGACCAAGAGGGAAAGTCTGATTAAAATCAGATTCTTAGATGTTGTTCCACCCTGTGGGGTTGGTAAAATGATAGGGCTCTGGTGAGACCAGGGCTGTGACAGACTAGGAAGTTATGTGGGTTGCTTTATAAACAACTTAAACTGAAATAATCTGGTGATGTGGAAGTTCAAAAGGTAATCCACTGTGTGTTGTGCCTCAGGCAGTTTGCTATCCTGCAAGACCTGAAATTTCTACAGAGCAAACCACAGCCTTCCATTCACCCAGAGCTGACCTGGAGACCTGCTTATTATTTCATAGTCCGGGCCAGCCCAGGACCCAGAAGCCAGAACGCACTCTCCACCAGCAGCAAAAAACATCTGTGGACCTGCAAGAAGGATAGGTCACAGTTTTCTAATAATATTTTGTTAACTTAATACTGTTCAGAACCAAACACCACACTTAAATGCCATTTTCACTAGACATTGCAGGCTAAATTAATAGGAGCTTTGAAAAGTACTCATCACTTGTAGTTTTATTTTACGGCAATGCAGGTCTATGTTATCAAGGTAAAGCTATCTATAGCTACAGGCCAGGCTGCAGAAATACTGGTGTAAAAAACTAGATGTTATTCTGATATTCATTAAAAATGAGCGTCCTCCTGGTGTTTCTTTAGATTCAGATCTTCTGTTTATAGTATGTGGTAATGGTCTGAGGCAAGACTTACTATTTCTGAATAACAATTAGCTTAAAAACAGGACAACAGTCTGCTAATGTGAAATGATCATACCTTGCCATGTCCAGGTTCTCTCTTTCCCTGACCCACTGACCTTGAAAGCAGCAATGACTTTACAATGCAGAAGAAGCATGGGCTCTGGGGACAGAAAAACATTCCAATCCCGGCTCAGCGTCTTAAGAAGTCCTCGATTTCCCTCCTGTGTTAGAGTGAGCACCAGAAAAGAAGTGTCCTCTCCAAGTGGACTGGAATCTAGGCAAGATGAGCCACATTCTAGTGAGCACTGTGAGTGAAAAGTTCAAGTGCACGGATGTGATACACTTCCTCTCTGGTGCTCTTTCCTCTTTGTGCCCTTTCATGAAACCAAACAGCGGTGAGGTCTGGGTCTGGCTAACGACAGGTGACAAGATCCATTAGGTCTTAAGCCTGGGCCAAGGGCTGCAGGCTACCTTACTAGCAAAGTGCTCTGCACTGGAGTTTGGGGCACAAGTTCAACTGACGACAAAGGATTCATTTTCTTTCCAACTGTCCTTTAAGCGTGCATTTCCCTCTGATACGTTTCTACCTCCCAGGATAGAAAAGTGACTGGAGAATAGACTCTGGGCATTTCTGGGTCCCCTGGGAAAATACCATGTAATATATCCCAATCCCAGCATCCTTTTTTCCCTAAACATCTGATTTCCAATCAACCCATTTTCAACCCTACACATCAATATCTCTAAACAGCCTCTCTAAGTACTGAACTCAGATGCATGTATACAGCCTGGTGGAGAAACAGTTCAAGCCACTGCATGATCATGCTTCCTTGCGTCAGGAGTGTTAGCAATTTCAACAGCATTACCACCTGCATAGAGCAGTGTTTGTGCAATTATGTGATTAGTTTGTTTTATTTTATGACAGTAAGTAGGAAGTAGAAAAGTGGCAGTACTGACCCCAGTGATTAAAAAAAAAACTTAGAGGTATCAGAAATTCAATAAAATTAAGATAAAGATGGAAGGTCTCTAAATCTTAAGTCTCAATTGGATGCTCATTGGAATTAAGCCAGTCAGTTGTGGGTACAGCTATGAAGAAAAAGGAATAAAATTAAAGAATATATTTTAAAAAATATTAGTAATGGATGCTTAGATGATTATGTCTAAAGGGAAAGATGTAATTAAGAATTTGGTAATTTTTAAAAATCTCTCCAGGAATGGAATTTCTGTCACAAATTATAGATTTATTGTTCTACATTTGGTTTGTAAGAAGAGATACTTATGTTAGTTAACTGACTTTGTATAAACTACATAAGATCTCTATGCCTCAATACACCAATCTCTGAGATGGAGTTACAATCAGAAATAGTTTAGGTAAAGCTGCCTTTCCCTGTGCCCTGGAGCACAGCAGAAGCTCAATAAATAGAAGCTGTCTAATGATTCATGAGACCATGAAGCCAGAAACTGTCTTACTCGTCTTTGTATTGCTGTCACCCAGCTTTACAGATACAAGGTAACAGACCTTCAATGAGTATTTCACAGATGAAAAAACATTCTATGCTTCTACCTCCCTTAGGACTATATGATATGAATCAAGTGGCCTTGGTTCCTGAGATGCTAGGGTCCTTTTCTGTTGTTGCTATGAACACTCTGGCCATATTTTACCCCTAATCCTGATTTTCAGAACTCATACCAATTCCAAAACCTCAACTTGTCCCTCTCAAACTATCAAGGTTGGTAGTTTCATACCCCTCCTTGCAGAGCCCATCCCTGATCCTGCTGATAGCAGTAAGTCCTGCTAAGACTTCCACCAGGGCTCCAATGGACTAATTACATATTGACTATTCTGAGAAACTGACATTTAGTTTACTTCTTTAAACATACACATAGACACACACTGTGTGTTTTATGTGTACAATTTTTTTTAGTCAGGGTTACATATTTTTGGAATGCAATCTGTCTATAAGTTGGCCACAGGCTGTACTGGACTTTATTGACCTGCCTCATTTGTGACATCTTGCAGCTAAACACCTTTCAGCTGGTACAGGGGATCAGGGATTATTAATCACTTATTTGAAAATTTTTCTGCCCTTGTGCGAAAAATACAAGACTAACATAGATCCTCACCCTCCTCCCTTCCCAAAATTAGTTGGGAAAAAACCCCTCACTACTATTAACAGCCTGATGTCTGAATTAGATAGCTGTAACACCAGTTTTGCTCCTAATATTAGGTATCTAACATTTTAACTGTTACATGTGAAACGTATAGGATGATGGGCTCCAAAGTTCATTCTGCATGAAAGATTAGAAGGTCCCAATTCATAATAAAAATACTAGAAATAGTTTTCATTTCCTATTCTAGTGTTGGCATTTATTACCTAATAAATCCACACCATGAAAAGCATGGTTTGCTCTCTACCAAGCTGCATACAATATTGCCGTGATGGTGCTCAAAGCCTTTGAAAATATTTCAAATTTTCAGTAAGATACTTGCCATGATTTATTTTTAATGTTTATTTATTTTTGAGAGAGAGAGAGAGAGACAGAGTGCGAGCCAGGGAGGGGCAGAGAGAGAGACACACACAGAATCTAAAGCAGGCTCCAGGCTCTGAGCTGTCAAAAGAGCCCCATGCATGGCTCGAACCCACGAGATGTGAGATCATGACCTGAGTCAAAGTCGGACACCCAACTGACAGCCTCCCAGGTGCCCTACTTGCCATAATTAATGTAAGAAACAGAGGGTACGTGCTACTGAGATTTTTTTTTCTCACTTAAACCTACCATATTAAATCCAAAACATTTCTGCCAACCTACCAGGGACTTTGAGATGTAGACATCTCCTGGGATGACAGTCAGGTCTGTTTATAATTAGTTTTTCATTAAATGGAATTGGCACAGTAGACATACTGTTTAATAAACCTTCCGCTTGCTTAACATGCAGGGTTTCTTATATAATCCTAGGATGAAACGGTTTAATGTAAATTAATTTTTTTATATTCATGCTCTCCTGTGACCTGTCCCATTGATTTGCCCCAGAGTTGCCTCTAGCTAAGAGTAACTGGCCATTTACTACACTGTAAAATTTTCAGCCCACAAGGGCTGAAATTCAGCCAACTCTATGTCTTTTCCACTAATTAATTTTTCTAAGATCAGAAAAGGCAGTCTTTTTCCCTTAAGAAATTATGTTAGAATTTTTCCATGTGAAGTAGTCATCTGGAAATGGAAATACCAACTGGTTCTGTATGTACTGGGGTGAGAAGGGAAGGAAGGAAAGGAGAGAGTCTTCTCTGGAGAGGAGAGGGCAGGATGATTATGGAACTTGGCTCTGGTCAAAACACCCGGGGCTAACAGAATCTCATGGAAACCACATTTCAATAAAAGTTAACTGAATTTCATCTTCTCCCCCGAAGAATCAGCACAACCTTTCCCGCACCAAACAGTGGTGCTATCAAGGAAGCTGTAATCGTTCTGGGAACATTAAAAAAAACAACAAACTTTAACCTCTAACCAGAACATTATTAACTTCCATTTAAATACAAGAACATGCTTAACTCTATAAAAAGTTTTCTAATGTCTAAGTCAAGCTAGGTAATAACTCCACATTTATTTATATCTACCTTGTTTCAAAGCAAAATGAGGCAAAAGGAAAATGAGGACAATAAAACTAGATGCAGCCAACATCTTGACTAATGTGCTAATATGTTGTGAGGTCTTTGTTGGAGGGGGGTACAGATTTGGCCCTGAACATTCTAGCAGAAGGAAACATAATCTTTACAGCATATATAAAATCCACAACCTAAAAACAAACCAGCTGCTAGAAGTCTCACTATTCTTGGTACAGAGAGCAGAGAAACCATAACCTAACCAACCAGGTCCTCCAAAGCATTCTGAGAAAAACCAGTGGCACATGCCATAGGCCTACCTTGCAACGGTCCTCAGTAGAGACCAATAATGAGATCAGTAACAGTCATCCCCTCCTATAGTCTTGGCATGGCACTAACTCTCCAAAGTAGAAAGTATTAGTTTCATTTTACAAGTAGGGACACTGAAGCTTAAAGAAGCTGAGTAACTTTTCATGGTCATATAAACAAAGAACTGACTGAGCTGGGCTTCCAACCCAGGTCTGTGTCCCCATCATCGGGCCACACTGTTTCTCCGAGAACATCACAACCAGTGAGATTCTGTAAAGCAATTTACGGGGGTTGGGCCCACTGGGGAGATCTGATTTAGTGATCTTTTCTATTTTCATTCAACTCAGCACTGGAAGAAACAGTGGGAAAGCATAAGCCAAGGCACCGGCTTGGATGAGAGAGGTCTCACAATTGCTGGTTCCTTGTAGTTCAACTGCCTGCAATTTCAGGACACAGGGATTTAAACTATTGTGTTTCTGCTACATAAAATTGAATTTGCTTGTTTCTTCCCTTTTAATTTTCTCTCCATAGTGTTCTCTTTGTGGCTATCTCCCGTGGCTGCCCTCATTTCTCCTATTAATTTCTCTTGTGAGGATGTTTTAAAGAAATTAGTATTTAGACTCTGTAGGATGCTAGGTCTTCAGAATGAAAATCAACACAATCTGAGGGAGCCTTCCAAGATAGCAGTTGCCTTTAGGCAGCGAGAGTGGCAGCTATTGCAGTGGAAGGCAACCTACTAAAAAGTTAATCATAAAATGGAGAGATTTGAAATCGACAGACCATGTGACTCAAAGCAAACCATCTAGCCTTTGGGATCCTGGTTTCCTCAGTATTTCTATAAACCTGTCTTTGAGGGAAATAAGTGAAGTCTTCTAGAAACTCAAAAGAAATGAAAAAGAAATTTTAGGTTAAGCCTTCAGGAAATCAGGCTGAACTTTAATGAAAACTGAAAGCATTTTATAGAACTCTTCTAATGGCTTCAGGCTACTGATCACTTTAAAATTTTTGCTGCCTAAATGCAAGAGACTTTCTACTTTTTTTCTATAAGATTAGCAGAGATAATAGATGAAAGAGATCCACCCCCATCTAGCAAGTGTCAATGTAAACTGCAGGTGTTAGGAGGCGGGATGTGCCAGATTTCCATCTCTAAATACCTGAGAGAGAGAGAGAGGCAAGATAGAAAGGCTATACTCACTCCAAGGGCAGCTGGGTAGGGAACATCTGATGGGAAAGTGAACGAGGGACCAGTTGTCACTGGGCTGCTTGGGGGTGGGGTCACAATTAACCCGGTGGTACTTATATGAACCTGCCAAGGAAAAAAAAAGTTATTTAATAAGACAATTATATTTAACACAACAGACTGTACTGGCTAAACCTTGGGAAGGCAAGTCATAATTTTTTTTAAAAATCTATAGTTTCTAGTATTTGGGGAAAGCAGAATCTCTCAGTTTATTCAGTCCACATTTACTGGTTACCTAATTTGTATTCGGAACTGGGAGATCATGTGATAAATACTGGCCACTGCTGTTCTACATACAGAATTCAACTGCTGCTGGCTTTCACAACTTGGGATGCTACTGTGAACCAAACTGACCTTTCAGAGGGTTAGTCTGGTGCTTGACTAGCCCACTAGCAATTTCCCTGAAGATCCTGTTAAGGTAGGTTATGGCTGAATACTCACCTGTCTATCAATTTATAAATCTATGTGAAGTTCTTAAGGTATTTTGTTATTCTCAGGATCATTTTTCATGACTCCTACTTTTTAGTGGGGACACATAATTAAAATGCAGCTGCCTAGACATGCCTAGAGCAGGTAATTATTTATAAAACCTTTAAAGGAATAATGTCAAGCCAAATTAGCTGTTTTCAAAGGTGTATTATCCATGATACTATCCAAGATTAATTTACTAGAAAGAAATGGAGTTATTCAGGTCATTTCATTGCCTGTGTTCAGTTACTCGATCAATTTCACTCAAGCTGCATTATCAGGTCCAACTGCAGAATGCAGGCAGGAGGAGGCGTGTGGGCTGCAGCACAAATGGGATGGTTTTCCCGCACTGTTAAAGGAATGTGGTTGGCTGGTAACTTGTTTCCCCAAGGAAAGAATGATACACCCAGAACGCTAGGCCTTTTGTAATAAAAACTTAATCCCAAACATACTTCCCTCAATTCCCATATGTTGAGAAAAAGATTATCAGGACAAAGAAAAGCTCAGAGATTAGTTCCCAGAGGGCCTGAAGGAAACTTTGAGTTTCCTGCTTGGGTTAGGCCCTGCCAAGGCCAGGGATAAACAGCATCACAGCATACAATTTATTTTCACAAATAAATCTGTGTTATATATGGAATCCACATCCTTTTAAAATCACATCTGTGCGTATTAGCTCATACACTGATCACACTGGAGGCTTAAACTAAGCAGAGCTAAGGGATGCCCTAACAAGAGTTTCTCCCCAAACCCTCATTTTTTGTCTTTCATGTGAATCAAAGTCTATTTCCAATCAATTTCTTTTTTAAAAATTTTTTTGAACATTTATTCATTTTTTGACAGACACAGAGCGTGAGTTGGGGAAGGGCAGAGAGAGGGAGAGACACAAAATCTGAAGCAGGCTCTAGGCTCTGAGCTGTCACCGCAGAGCCTGATGCAGAGCTCAACTTCACCAGCCGTGAGATAAAAGTCATCAAAGAATGATTAAAAACAGAAGCAACAGAAGTAAAGGTGAGCATGCCTAGAATAAGCGTCCTGAAGTAAAAGGCGAAAGATTTATACGATCTGAAGAGAAACCAGAGTATTAAGCGTCCTGAAGAATAAGCGTCAGATCACGACCTGAGCTGAAGTCAGATGCTTAATGGACTGAGCCACCCAGGCGCCGTGATTTCCAATAAATTTCTAATGGGAAGCACAATGATTTTCATTTTAGGACAAAATCCAATGGCCTTTAGCTGTTTTAACCAATAAATCTGTTTATATACATACCCCAAGGACATTTCTAAGTTGGCACTACATAAGAGTCTTTCTGAGAAGATACAATGAAGCTCACTTCAAAGTGCATGCCATTATCATGGAACCTTTAGGGTAGGAAAAAAAACCCCACCAAAATACAGCTTCCTGGGCCTGACCCTACAAATATCTAAGAAAGATCTCATGACTGACCAATGTTTCTCTAAGAGCTGCAGACTGGGAGTCAAGATAATTAGCTGCTAATGAGCTCATAGTCTTGGTCAAGAAACTTCACCCTCTATGATGAGCTGGACCAGAGGGCCCCTAATGTGTCTACTATCATAGTCATTGAAGTGAAACACTAAACATTGATACTCCTCCAAGCACCAGCCAACACAGGGCCACTCCTAACACCTGAATAAAAAAGGAAGAGATAAAAGTCACCAAAGAATGATTAAAAGCAGAAGCAACAGAAGTAAAGGTGAGCATGCCCAGAATAAGCATCCTGAATAGGGACAGACTGACTTTCTACTGTTCTCTTTTTCTCATGGAACTGCAAATTAAGTTTGGGCTCCTCTATAAGAATGGACTCTGTGGAGGGGAAAGAGGTAACGTAAGCAAACACAAATGAGTGGGTGCACCTTTGGCTCCCCCTGAAGCCACTGGCCACAGAAACACTTAATGTTATAAATCATTCCTCCAGCTGGCAGAGGCCAAAAAATATCTTGAGTGTGACCAGAGAAAGAAATAAAATGTCTTAGTTGCTTACAGCATCATGTGCTTTTATAGATGTCAATCACAGACATCTGTGCACATCTGTTCTGGTGACCCACCTGACAGCAAAGTCTATAAAAGAATCTTCTAGTATATGTATTTGAAAGTTCCGCCTTTGCTCAATAGTCACCATATATAATAGCAAGCAAGCCCTTTCCTCGTTTCTTATGTTTCCCTATCCTGTTGCCTGGAACTTGGATGTCCTGGTGAGATCTCTAAATTCCATATAGAAAGAGGAGGATAAGGTTCTACCCATATGGTGGAAAGGGAAGCTGAGAAGCACATCACACAGCACTGACTGCCTGTATGTGGATTCTATTCAGGTGAGAGAAAAATGAATGCTCACTTCTTTAGTCTTCTTTAGATTTTCTAAGTGCAACCAAACCTGATTAAGGAAAAGCAAGACAAAAAATGGACCAAGTCAAGATATTAAAACATCCTTTTCCTCAGCACTGTAAAAAGTTCTTTTTCCTCAGCACTGTGAAAAAGAAAAAGAAATGGGCCATAGCAGGAGTCAAACCTCCTGATCGGTCCTTTGCAGGGCAGAGGAAAAGGACAGTCCTATTTAGAACTGTCTCACATGCTACCTTCCCATAGCCACTGATCTCCACAGTCAGGAGAGTGTTTTCCTGTCACCTATGCTACACACACTCATTGCTTTATTATAGACTGTGGTTCCCTCCAAAGTACACAGTACGCTAGACAAGTAGTGTTTTCTGTAAACCTGGGCCAGAGAAGCCAGGCAGCACTTGAAACATCTCGCATCATCTTCTTGAAATAACCTCTCCCTGAGGCAACATATTACCACCGAAAACAGAACGAATTAGAATATGGGAGGAGGGGTGGAATGGTTGAAGGGGAAACTGTTTTAATGAAATACAGAAAAGGCCTTGTTTCCTAAGCTACTCCAACCAAAACAAAAATAGCTCTAGTTTTATAGTCTTCATTCCCAGCTCTGGTGTGGCAGTGTCAGACATGCTCACACCTGACTGCCGAGTTGTCTCCAAAAGATCTAAATGCGAGCTTTATCCTTCCTTTCTCTTTTAATTTTGTCTAGTGCCAAAAGATTACTGTCTATTCTTTTAAAACTATTCCTATTCTGAGTTGCCACTATTCTTACCAGAAACTTATCTTTTACTTTAACAAAACATCATTGTGCAAATGTTGCTAGGTCACAAAATTTTAAAAAGCAGTCAAATGATCCAATTTTCTTTTAGTGAATGGCCAGCTTTACTAGACCCCTCTGTCAGAACATTATTCAAAAATCTTTTGAACTTTTCCAGAGTAATCCCACTTGGTACTTCTTACTCCAATCTATAATCCATGTCTATTTTTCACATGGGTATAATTAGTTACATGTAAAATAACATAGTTCTCCTCTCTACCCATTTTCAAGGGACTCCTCATTCAATAAGCATTTATTGAGTGTTTTATTGTATGTCTGACATTTGGAATATATCGGTGACCACAACAAAGATGTCTGTCCTCATCATACTCATTTTCTAGTAGGCTGTGTCTGTGTGTCCTAGTTCCCTCAAAAGATCAAAAGTTTCATGGCCCCAGCACCCAAAAAGTACCGACGAACCACAATCCCATTCAGAAAGTGAATACATTTAATGCACAACATGCAGGATGAATCTAAAGGAGTGGGGTCAAATAAATGAGGCCAAGAGAACATAATTTTTAATAAAATTGGCAAGGAATACCAGAAATCATGTTGTAAATTTTTATTCTGTGGCCCACGACAGGCACTTATTAAACTGTAAACTTTCTGAGGGCCAGGATTGTGTATTTGTTTTCTTAAAAGGAAAATAATTCATTTTTGTATTTATTGAAAAACACTACAGCTATATTATAAAGTAGAATGTAAAATCTGCATGAATTTTGAAAACTAAACACAAGATTTGAAAGAAATTTCTCCTACTTATGACAGGCAGCTTTGGTCTGGTATCTCTGACCTCTGAATTGAGGAAAATATAGTGGTCATCTAATTGGATAATTATAGCAGCCCTGTGAATTAGGCAGGTAACAGGCTCATTTTGCAGTCCAGGATTAAGGTCTAACAGGAATATACATGGTGTTTAGAAGGTTCTAAAAATAAGGCACTCAATAAATGCCTGCTGAATGAATGTTTCCAATCATCTTGTATATTTTTATTAACACAAGGATAATGTGCAGCTATTTCTTATGATAGTCCAGAGCCTTGATGAACTAATAAGCTTTTTAAGAAAGCTAGATTTTAATTTCTAACTTAAATTAAATGTTTCTTCACGTCTTTTCTTTTTTTCTCTAAAACTCTTACCAGGAAGCCTAAATGTCGGGGTAAGTTACATGGATGCAGGCAACTGTCAACTATGAGTTTCAACCACAGCATCTTTAGTTTGGATGAAGATAAAGTTTTAGTTGGCAAGATCTCCCAGAGCAGCCTTGTGAGCAAGTTCTGTAAAACTGAGCAGTTGCTTGAAACTAAGTATTATTTAAATCATTTTGTAATTTCTGATCCTTCCTTTGACAATGACGGAGTAGTTTCAGGTTAATACACTCAAGTTAGTTTTCTCCACTTTTCTACCTACAGAATGGAGAAAGGCTCTACGTCTCAGGAAAGCTACTATCTTCCAAAGGCATAAATAAACAGTCTTGTTTAGCTAGTGAACAAACATGTCTGTGAGTAGATCATTTTGTGCCTGAGCTCTTTTCACACCTTTTGGATGATTTACCTGAGACGGGGCACTGCAGGAAAGCCCAGATAGCTCGCTGATGCGCGCAGCAGCCGTGGGGTTACTGGAGCTGATGAGGACAGGAGGGCTGATCTCCATGGAGTGGCGGTTCTGGGATGCCTGGGAGGATTTGCTGGCCATGGTGAGGGAAGTAAAGGAGTGCCGCTTTTTGGTGTTCTTCTTGGTGTCAGAGTGCTTTGGGGCATTGCTGCTCTGGGCTGCTGCCGAGGTACATTCTCCAGCATCAACACCTGCCCCAGGAGGCTTATCCCATTCTATCAGCTGCTTTGCTGCCGAGTTAAACTGCAAACCAAGAAATTGACACAAGACAGTTACACAGTTCTCAAGGATTCACTGAGATTTCTTTTTAACCAGCATTTATCTAAAATTCAGTGTCACCACTTTAAAGTTTGCATTTGCAAGTCTATACATATATTTTCCATGTGAGATGTCTTTTCTCTCAATACTGGCATTTCATTAGATCTGTCACCAATAGATGTCAAATCAAGAATAAACAATTCTAATTCAAGACCAACAAGGTAAAAAAAATAGTTTTTTCCAAGAATATTCAGAATATCTAATTTTAAAATTTACCAGTAACAAATGAAGATTTGTTTCAGTTCACTGATGAAACTTAAAGCAGAACAATTAAAAGGGTACACTGGTCTGACTGAACACTCTGTTGCCCAATAATGGTTAGAGCCATTGCTCTAGAGCACAAGTGAACATTGTAGGGGTAACTTTTGGGTTTTGTAAAAAACGAGCAAGACAACAAAGAATGAAACCATTATATGTTAACTCACGCACTTCCACATAAATTAACCTCCCACCTCTGTGCATTTTGGGAGAACCTCACAAAAAAGTTGGTAGACATTCCTTTTTATTTTTTAAATGTTTATTTATTTTTGAGACACATACACTCGTGCACACATGCATGGGCAGGTGAGGGGCAGAGAGAGGGAGGCAGAAGATCCAAAGTGGGCTCTGCCCTGGAGCAGAAAGCTCAAAGCAGGGCTCGATCTCACAAACCATGACATCATGACGTGAACTGAAGTTGTACACTAAACCGACTGGGCCACCTAGGAGCCCTGACATTCTTGATATCTCTTTGTCATATCACTGCCTCAATTCTTCTCATATGTGCTTACAGTTTAAATCATAAGGGAGTAAAAAAAATTTTTTTAAGTCCTACTGGCAAGCTAACTTGTCTCTTTGAAAAGTTCTCTATTAGGGGTACAAGGGGTGCGGACAGCACCAGCAAGAAAGGAAAGGACACAAAATTTGTTTTTCCTGAGGTAGAATATAATGTTTCCACAAAGCTTCAATGATAATAAGCTGTATATAACTTACCAAGATATTACAGTAATAGGAAATCATTGAGCACAAAGTTTAACCTCACATAAAAAGACATTAAGATAAAAAATAATAGACATCTTAAAGGTAATTTAAATAAATATTAAGGATAATAGGGATTTTCTCATCTCAGCTTTGCATGTTCAGCACTTTACAAACACCCTTAGATAAAATATCATCATCAAAGTTATTTTCCACCCACCTAAATGGTTAGGACCATGTCTCCTTGCCCTGTTGATGAGAATGTCCTACTAGAAGAATGGAAATCCTGTCAGTCAATATGTAACAAAGTGAACTTGCTTTGGCACAACTGGCTGCTCACAAAGCTGTACTAATTGCAGTTCAGTAGCCAGTGCTTCTACAGATGATTGCATATTGATTAACAATTTGTTCCTGTGGCTCCCCAGGGACTTGAATTCATCTGGCCTGTCTGATCTACAATTAATAAGATACATCTTTTTCAAACATGAGCATGCCTCTCCTTCAGACTTCAAGGATTTTTTCCACATGATAGGCTTTCAAGAATAATAGCCAGTAATGCCACCATTAACACCTATCAATGCCTGAAGTACCAATGGCAGGAGAGAGAGGAGAAAGGTGATCATTAGGACTCTGTTACGTGTTTTGAGAATGAAGAAATGAGGTACTATTAAAGGGTGGCCTTATTATAACATTATAATAGCATTTGACCAAGAGATCTAGAATTTACAAATCCTACGTTGGTCTAGCCATCTCACCTTCTGGTGGTCTCTAAGAAAATCACATGCCTGAAGGAAGAAATGTGATGTTTTATTATTATGGTGGGAGTGGCCCAAACCTCAACAATACCAGAAGAAGAAAAAGAGTCAAAAAATGCCTTCTTCTACTATAAGCTCATTTAGATCCCAAGACACAAATCCTCAAAAGCATGACTTAATCCACATGCTGGAATCTGACCAATTAACTCAGCACTCATGTTGCACTGAGTAAGAAATAAGGGAAAGGGCTGAGAAGACTTCCTCCCCATTAAGACCAAAAATATGAATTGAAAAGACTATCACATCTACTTGATATCAAAGTTAAATTTATTCTGGGATCAAACCAGAGCTTCCATTAGCAATGTCTGCTTTGAAATAGTCTGAAATATTACCATAGTCCTGTACATACCTAGCCAAGTGTTGCTTTAGTTAAAAAGAATTAAAATTTCAGTTTCCATATGCTGTGCTCTGGAATAAACATAAGAAATATATTTCCTATACATATATTCCCTATATTTCCTGTTTTTCTCATTATAAAAATACAGGGTGCTTCCCCTGTACATTTTTCTATATTCTCCATTAAATAAATATTGATCTTTCCACTAAAGTAAATACACATTGATCATCTGTTACATACTGGATGATGTGCTAGGAGCTGGAGATCTATACATGCAGACAAATGGTCCCTGCCCTCAAGGAGCTTACAAACAGACTTATAAATAACAGAAGCACTCTTTATATTTTCCTGTGTTTTGCTTCTTTGAGTCAACAATATACTTTTCGAGATTTATCCATATGGTCTATGAGTCAGTCATTTTTTAAAATGCTATGTAATATTCCATTGTGCAGATACACTACAATTTATTTATGCATTCTTCTGTTGAGTGATATTTGGGTTCCCCTTCCCTCTCCTCCTATCCCTTCTTCTCTTTCTCGAGACTTCCTTCTTTTCTATAGATTTTGGCTACTGAGAACAATGCTGCCATGAGTAATCTTGTGCATATTTTTGACGGACATAAGCACTCATCTGGATACTGGGCATATGCCTAGGAGAGGAACGGCTGGGCATGTTTAGAAAACACACAACTGGCATGTTTAGAAAAATAAAGTCTACATGCAGAAGTATGTGCATACAAGCAGACCCATCATGGTGTGGTGGAACTAGCGAGCTGCAGACAGAAGACCACAGTTCTAGTCCTTACCCATAAAATGAGGACGTTGGAGCTGATGATCTTTTTGTCTTGCTTAGCTGTCACATGTGTAAAGCATTATGTTACTTTAAGCAGATATAATTCATTTTTCCATTTCACATCTTTCATTTCTATTTCTCTAAATCATCTGCTATATTTTTCCTGTATTTCATTTTTACACACGAGCAGTCATGTTCATTGCCATACTTTAAAATGACTTTAGACCCAGAGGTTAGTACTTAAAAATGTTATTTGCTGCCTTTATAAGTCCCACAGAAAGTCACAAAGTTAAGACTACTTTGGTAGAGGCATTAAGTAATTCAGGCAGAAACTTAAAGAGGCTTTTACTGTAAGTGTACCTTAACCTTCAGCAACAACAGGAGAGCAAGGATCTGACAGTTTTTAATGGAATTTTGATAACATTCACTTATGAATGTTTGTTAGAGCTCACTAGTGTAGGCTTTCTATGACATTTATCTAACCATGACCTTTTAGTTTAGGAGCACACTTATCACCTGAAAAATAAATTTGTATCCTAAAATACCTTCTTCCAAGCACTTGGTAAGGAGTATCTGATGAGACCTGGTTGCCTACAAGGTAAAATTCAGTACACTGGAGCTAAAGCAGGGACAAATGAGATTTGTTAATCTTAAAATGGTAATGTCCTCTTTTTTGGAAACTCTAAAATTTAGATGGAGTATTAGTAGAAGTATAAAGAAGTATGAGAAAGAAAATACGGATGAAATACTGACAATACTAACAACAGCACCAAGACAGTTGAAGAAGTATCAAAATAATCTGTGCGTTGGGGGGGTGGGGGGGAGGGAGGTTGTCTTTGCTAAAGAGACTATGACCTTTAAAATTTTTTTTTAACATTTATTTATTTTTGAGAGAAAGAGATGGAGCACAAATGGCAGAGAAGGAGAGACACAGAATCCAAAGCAGCCCCAGGCTCCAAGCCATCAGCACAGATCTAGACATGGGGCTCAAACCCACAAGCTGTGAGATCATGACCTGAGCCAAAGTCAGACGCTCAACCAACTGAGCCACCCAGGTGTCCCTAGAGATTATGACGTTTTTAAAAGATGGAACTTACATTTTTTAAAAAGAGGAAAAAATTAATGGAAACAAAGTTAAATAGTCACTATTTGGGATGATGCTTTACAGATGAATCCATTAGTTTTTGAGTACCAGAGAATACAAACAGTAGGTCTGATGAAGGAGCCTATTCTAATTTACAACCCACTAGAGTGTTCCTTGAACATAAGAGGCTTTTTAAGAGAGACAAAACAAAACTTTAAAAAAATTATAAAAGTAATATATGTTCATGATTTTTAAAAAGGAAATAGTACAGAATAATATGAAGTAAAAGTGAAAAGGCCTTGGCCAGCTTCCAATCTGTCTCCCCCCCAATTCATTTTCCAGATATATCTAAGCTTACCAGTTTAGAACATATCCCTCCATATATTTTCTATGTTGATACTGTTAAATATGTACCCATATTTTCTGGTGAGGTATGGTTTAGTAATGGTGGGAAAAACACAGGCCTAGAGGGGAAGCTGAAAGCTCTGCTCTTCTGTCTCTCCCTTCCTATCTTAACGAGAAACGAGTGAGGTAGAGGGCCTGCCATGTCCCTTTCCCCAGGAACTCCCCCAGGCCAGAGCCCTACCCCTTCCCAGGTCTTCTCCACCCAACTGTCTCTTGGTCTCCAACCCCAAAACAGAACCTGTGGCAGGTCACCTGTGCATTAGCCTGGAGCTAGAGAGTGAGGCTATGGGATGTTGGGGGAACTCTTGGTTCCTAGAAGTTCCTTGGAGATCAGATCTCTCCAGAGGGAAGCAGGAGCAAGGCCAAGGGGTGTGCACTGGATGGGGAACAGCAGGCAGGGCTACGGGTGACGCATGCCTCTGGTCTAATAAACTGGTTTCAACCATCAAAAAAAATTATTAATTTTTAACATAAATGAAACCAAGTAATATATACTATTCTCTCCTATAACAATATCTCATGGACATCTTTCTGC